TCTTTTGAAGTTTGATACAAAAGTATTCTGGAAGAAAGCTTGGGGTATCCAAATCAAGAAATAACATCAGTTAATTTTTTCATCGGCTGTTGGTCGAATCCAAATCAACGGGTATCGACCTCCTGATTAGAGCTCACACAACACTCATAATCAGAGCTTGAAGACAGGTGACTTGGCACAAATCAGTCGTGATAGATCATAATTTGTGAGGTTTCCTCTGAATTTTAGGTTAGATATCATTATTAGCCATCACTGAAACAGTATATTTCACGTTTAAGAATCCACTGGTTCTATCTTACACTTCTTTTTGTCCTCTTTCTTCTTACTGACGTGAAATGTCCCGACCGTAGCTGCTACCTTGTCATCGTGGCCCAGCTTTCCTATTGTGATCACTCAACTAAGCGATATTGGCTGGAATATGTGTTCCTTTAAATCCCACCATACCAGCCAGGTCGGTTTTAGAGCGGTAGGACTAGGAGCAGTTACTCAAAACTCGAGGGCAAAGGCGTAGTGCTGACTGTGGAAGGATGTGACAGCAGAGATGCGTTTCCTTTGAACAAATAGGACCTCCAGAGATATTTCATTCTCACAAGGAAGGTAAGGGTTAGAAAAGATAGACCCTAAAACTGTCAAACTTCACTTTACCCTACGACGGTCAAAGATCAAAAGTTTCCCATAAAAACGCCGTTCGAGACCGGCCGCAAGCAGTTGTCCCTTGAGTTTTGTGGTCACGATCCCTGGTCGCTAAAGCCACCAATAATCTGGGCTGGTTCCAGACCTGAAATTGGATGTATAGATCAATGATCCACCTTTTTGCACGTTTTGGAAAATAGACGTACTTCTCGATGTCCGACTATAGTTGTTTTTCTTTACCTTAAGGAGGAGGAATTAGTTACTCCAAGTGGTGTCCGTAAAGTTTGTTTGCTTTTCCCATTTTTATTCAACTTTGTCATGGACATGCTCTTAGAGATAACACTTTTTCAATCTTATTTTACGAGGGTTGATCTCCTACCAGAAGATTCACTTGTTGTCTTGGAATACGCAGATGGTATAATTCTGCTCGGTGAAAACAATAACAGGATACAGAGTCTTCCGATCAGCTTAAGCATCAATGCAACCAAGTTTGGGATGCGGTTATCTTCCCCCCAAATGCTAATTGTTGACTAAGAATTGGCTTGCGTCAGCACCTGAACTATTAATAGGGAGTGAAGCAGTTGAACGCATCGACCGCTTCACTTATCTTGAGAGTCCCAACAGTCCCAATGATCTGTTGTCTGATGAAATCTCGGCACGGATTTAGAAGTCTTGATTAGTTTTTGTCTACTTGCGTCACTTGTAGCGTGGGCGAGAGGAGCTTAGGCTGTCCACCAGAATTCTCCATCGAACTCTGTCCTGGATAATTCTTTCCAGTTGCTATTCTTCATTTTCATGTCTGCTTCCAATTCTCGACACAATGTATCCTTTAGCTTAACCCTTTTACGTTTTCGTCTAGTATTCTAAGTTATCACTTGTTACAGTTTGATTAATTCCGCAATTTATTTCCTATCCGCTTCAAGGGTCTTTTCCCAATTTCCTCTTTAACTGGAAGCTGGTTTGTTTTCTTCCACAGTCGGCTGTTACTGATTGTTTCCGGTCAACGGACATTGAGCATCTTGCACAGACAATTGTTTAGAAACACGTACTTTTTTGTACTACACTTACAACGTACAATTTAAATTTAATGATAATTTATATAGACAGATCTATGGTGTTTAAATAGTACAAAGGAAACTAGGTTGGAGAGTTCAGCGAATACAAACATCCTCAGTCGACAAGCGTACAACAGTTAGTGTTTCATTTTATACTGTTCTTAATTGCTTGAATTATTAGGTAGATTATTCCAAATTGTTTTAGTTCTCAAAATTTCAGTGGCTCGAGATCTAATTCCTATTATGGTGAAAGGACAAATAAGCCACGAACGTTAACCTTCCGCTTTATTCCATTTTTTATACCTATTCTAACCACGTCTAAGCGACGACTGTAATAAGAAGTTAAATACGGATTGAGTAGGATAAGTTTATTTCACACATTGGTTTGTTCAGATAGACAATAAAAAATGAGAAGCGAAGACAACCATGCCAACTTCTCAATACTAATTACAAACGTTAATATAGCTCAAAATGTTTAATGCGTAGTATAACAATGAGATAAGCATTGGATAAACTAATGAATGATATGTACGCATAAGCGTATACTAACAAGGACATAAATATATGCTATATGTGTTGAAGGTCACAATTTCCTATGGGAAGAATAACGTTTTCGAAGGTAAAAATGAGTCAATGGTCACATGCAGTTTGACACATTAAGCCTTATCCACAAGCTAGAAAGAATTATATAAGTGTGTGGTAGTACTTGACGTTGTATGTCTAATTTGATAAATCATTGATATGTATGCATATGTGGTCTGCAGTTATACTCCAGTTGATCACGATCAGTCAATGTATGAAGCTGCTAAATATCCTCCGATATTTAAAAGAACTTTAGTAAACCCAAAACGAAACAATGTACCATGACCCCGTTTTCGACGACGTTAATTAAGATGTACTAGTTCATTGAAGCATGAAAATCAGATACGTTCTCACCAGAACAATTTTTTTTGGTGATGATTCCAGTTTACAAATGGATATAAATCTTTCTGATACACTGGGTCGATAATTCGTAGGTTAAATAATAACCTTAAGCTACTGGCCAAGATTCAAGTTCATTTTTAGAGAAAGATATTCACGCTGTTGTCTGGACATGAGACTTTATTTTTCCAGGAAAAATGATGTATAAATGAATATGTGTATCCTCGACTTGGTTTTAGTCAATAAAGCTTTCTTCTCAATCACATGTCTGGTTTGAGCACATATATACGGAGCATATATGTTATTATCGAAGTTGGGCGATCACACAATGTGACACTTTCCATTACTGTAGAGGAAATGGTGATAAATACCGTTTCTGTTACTGTATGGCTGCATCAGGTATGACAGTTTGTCTTCTGACGAAAACCCAGTACGAATATAAAAAGTTCGTTTGATATCTGTTAATGTGTCATATATGCAATCAAGGAAATAGAGTATCTTTAGAATTATTGAATAAGTGATTAAAATATTCAGAATCGCTCATAATCACAGAATTTCATTTACTCATTATTTAAAACAAATCTTAAACATTTTATTTTCTATCACTGATTATTTCACTTCTACTCATACTAATCTTATTTTAATATCTAGTAATGCAAATTAACATACTTTAATTCAAAGTTCTTGTCTATTTATGAAGAAGTTATTCGTCGTTCTCTTGAGTCATATAAAACAGAATTCAAATCAAATCATCTTCATGAGTAATGTGAGAATAAAACGAGTAAGCATATATCAAATAACCTATTCAATATTTCAAATATCGAGATGTATTCCTTTCATGCTGCCGGTAAATGTGTCTGTAGATGTATATTGTATAACGCTCGGTTTTCCTCGTCATCACAAGTGGGACGCTAGTTTGCCTTAAACCAATATCTACACTAGATACCTTCCCAGTGTCTACTCCAAAGTACTTCAACACAACTCAGATCAAAAACACGTGACTAGCCTAACCAGGACGTAAGTATATTACCACACCAAAAACATCACAATAATAATGAGGGTAAAAAATATATAATTCATCTAGTACCTCTAAAACTATCTACATGTCTGACAAAACAAACAACCAAACATTATTTTTCTCGCTCACATATCATACATTAATTTACCTCCCAAAGCAGATACATTGAAAGAAGGATATTTTATTTGACAATTGCATATAAAATTTCTAATAGTAATTTAATCACTTGATATTATCAAACATCCTGGAAATACAAATTTTCAATACACAAAATACTAGATAAATGAACTGAGATTATGTGCTTGCATTTAGTAGTGTATTGTACATGTCAATGTACACTTAGTAACTGTTTAGCTTAACTCGCTGTGCCAGTTGGAGGTAAGTGTAAAATGGAAATACCAGGATGACAAGATCAAAGCACAACATTCATTTACGGAAGATTTGGTAACTGGATTGTTGTAACCTTCCATAGAATTTTACAGTTTATAAATCTGGATAAAGTGGTTGAGATTTACATAAATTATTTTCCTTTAGGAAGCGCCTATCATACACATGAACAACCTTAAAATCAATAAGCTTATATCATTTCGGTACTTTTATTATATTTGTCTCACCCACTCACCTGAGATTCATGAAGTAAACAAAGTTGAGGAGTTGACACTTAATACGAATTATTTTGAAATTTGCCAAAATGGCGTAGATGCATTTCTTGATTAGCTATAAATGGGAATAATTTCACTTGACATATGTTTATCTTCCGTACAAACTATCTGTCTTCATCTTCACTGATGATGTTATCATTATTTTGATTGATTCTACCTACAGATACAATTTGTAGAAAGTGTGGCAATTCGAACAATTATACTACTGTCTCGAATGCTATACTGTGATCTCTAGAACGTAGTCAGTATTGTTCACTTTTCAACTATATAAGTAGCAACAGGTATTTGAATAAATTAGAAATTATATGCCTGATTAATGCATTCCCACACGCAATCACAAACAAGATATGGCCACTAAAGCTTAAAATACGCCAGCATAGCTGATATAGGATGTAATTGATAAAAAGAAGTGTAAATTTTGTGTACGTGGTGATGATGCTGTGCTGACTTATTTCAATAACAGACAGTTGGATATAAAGCGTAGGGCTCATCTAAGATATGTGCCGGTTCGCATCACTAAAGTTCATGTAAGTACCGAGAGAAATCGACAAACAGAAAGATGATGACAACACTAGTTAGTGCATAAAACAAGGATTGGAAATAAGGGTTTTAGAATAACATGACCCTTAAAATGGAAAAGACATATGATGAATGGATGTATTCCCACCACTGTACCTGGCTATGAACTATACATAGAAATTTTAAGTAAATTCAAGTACCTACATTTTCATCTGAAGTCGCATCGACAACATTTTTACTGGTGACAACCTTTCCATCAGTAAGCTTTTTCAGTTTGGGCTTCAGTGATTTAGCATCTTCTCGATGTTTAGTGGACTTTTTCTTGACACGAACTGCACTAAAATAAAGATTATGAACAGTTCACGTGTTTAGATACCGCTGAAACATTTGCTTCTGAAACAAAGTTGTCATGAAATTAACTGCTGTAGTTTGACTTGTAAAAAGAGTTGGTTTCGCATCGTCATTTGATTTAGCCCAATGGGAATTCATCAGTAACTCTATGGCTTCCATTGCTACAAATATGCGAACAACCATTCCCGAGAGACGCCCTTCTTTAGATGGTAGCTTTTTATGTAAGTAATTCGCAACATCGATTTCTTCTAGCGTAGGCTTCAGTGGGTTTTCATTGAGTTTATCACCAGCTAACCGCTGCTTTCGTTTCTTTTCAGACATATTCAAAATCTAATCTGCAAGTACAGAAAGAGTTCTGTTTATTAGTCTTGGATACCATACAATGATAATGAGAACTATTTTTATTGAATAAAAATCAATTAACACCTTCATTGACGCAAACACGTCCTCACAAATACCAAATACAAATATAGTATAGATTTTGTCCATATTTGAATCAAGTACTAAGTATCCTGTGTATCTTGAAATGAACAAATAGCTGAACACTGATCTAGATTAAGTCGCAACATTTTCACTGGCGCATAGTCAAAATATCATCGTAGATGCGACTCAGTGACAAAGTACCAATTCATAAACACGCTCTGAGTCACACTTAATGTGAGTGAAACATATCAGTTACCTTAAATTGATGTAACATAGGGTTCAAGCATACAAATATCGGCTGAAAGTCCGGATTAAGTCGTCCGACCAGGTAAGTCAGTCGTCATTAACTTACGACTTGGTACGTGTCAATCAGTACAAGTCGTCACACTTCACATCAGTCAGTCGCAACGTGGAACCCTATACGTACGTCCATCGGTTCAAGTTGCTATAGGCCATTAGCACAGAGATGAAATTGTCATGTCAAATCCCTGCTATATTTGAAGTGATTAAGAGATCGCCTAAAATCAGCGAACGGAACGAACGATCAGTGACACAATGACAAGATAAGATAAACTATTCCGATTCGTCCCAACTCTGCTAACTAGAGGGGGAAGACCCGGTTTAGATAAGGGAAAGATATTTTCCACAGCACTCAGAAGCACGAACAACAACAAGCACGCAACTCAAGCATATATATATACAGCAGTGTTTGTCAAGATTACCAAAACATCTAAGCAGGACTTTTCGAAGAGCTCTTGAATAAACCAATGCCACCGAATTCTCCGAAGATCCAAACAACGCACACAAACCTTCCATTATTTATTCTATGACCAACAAAATAATAAGCTTATGGATTTTAAATTTAAGTTATTGACTACTGAATACGTACTAAGTGGTCTGAACGTAACGCAGTTTTGTTGATGTATAGTGGTTCAGGATAACCTACCGAAAGAATTCGTAACTTTTCGATTGGTAAATACTCATATAATAAGACAAATCAAATTTCAAGAGTTGTTTCGTTTTTAATTTTGCTTTAAGTGAAATCTCACCATGTTGCAAAATATCGTGGTAATTTTTTAAATATTTAATATATACTAGAAGGCGAACAGAATTTCATTAGAGTGATATTTTTAATTTGAACTAAATGAAACTTCATAGTTTCTATGCACACCCAATCATCGAGCAGTCATCACAAAATAACTAAAAGCTACATTTACCGAAATTCCAACAGGACGCCATTACTTGTAAAATTGATCATATAGGTAGCATATCAGTTGACCATCAATGATATTGAGTGAATGTTACCCTATATCGTAAATTGACTGATGGTAAAAAATCTAGATTATTGTATTTGCACTCTAACTGCACTGTATCTTAATCATTGCTTTGTCGAAGAGCTAAAATCAAAGGTGAAACAACTGTTATATGAACATATGTTTTCCAGTCTAAAATAATGTTGTATGGTTTTATTGATAATTTACATATGATTCAACAATCAAAATACTTCACTCCCATCTACGAAAACAGTCACAAATCTTATTTCACTTTATTCAGTCTAAGTAATTTAAATAGTTTCAGTAACCACTATTGAACAAGTACATTTCACCAAGTTAACTTGGTTTAATACATAAACTTAACTGTTACCTGATACCACTGAAGTAAAATTTAAAACACTAAAGACAGTGATTTGTAATGTATGACTGAAAATATGACTCAGCTTAACAATGGTATGTACATAATCCATAGACAATGCGAAAGCAAAAGGAAATAGTTGAAAAACTATAACTAACAGAATGAATAAGAAAGAAGAGTAGAGGGAATACTGAATCGAAGTTCTGGATAATGCCAATAAAAACTTGAAGGTTGATTGTTAAAAAATTTTGATGGTTTTAGTATTTTGATACTTTAATAACGTGTAGAATATAGATTATTATTTTCATTCCTTTGGTGATTACAAAAGAAATTGGCAGAAGTAAAGTTAAATAAAAGCCACTTCTAATACTACGGTGGTGAAGAGACACTCTAGTGGGGACAATCATTTTATTTTAAAATGTGAAAGCCATACATTATATACTTCATTTAAAAATCTTCCATCAATTGTCCTTTACAGCTTCATGATTCTTCCATTTCTCAATTCCTTTCTGTTTCCCTTTTTTTTCTTCTGTTCACTCTTCTCAACCTTCTTTTGACAAGGCTTTCTACTTCTGATCGGTGTTATATACTACTTATATCTGTCAACAAAAGTGGCATGTCTCACACTATTGCTATTACTACCACTACTAATACTTTTACTAACACTACTACTAATTTCGTAAAAATATTGCTAAGCACCTAAACAAGTATACCTAAAATCATCGACGCTCAACAAATATTGAATACAGAATAGTCGACAACAACCATATGTATACACAAAAACGGTTATATTTGATTTCTCAGAGAATATATTGAATCGTATACTACTAGGTTAACAGGTGATACACACTTACTCATGAAAAATGAAAATTACGTCTTTATCATAAAATGATGCGCTTTTGCAGTTTCCTCGCATCTGTTTGCTATTATAACGGACTTATAAATAATAAGTCAGTTTGACTAAATTTTTGATAACAGTTTACTTAATTTACTAGAGAACGACAATTTTTATTTTGAAATTCAGTTTTTTTCACTGAACCAAAATAATCTAGATTGTGGAGTACATTTATGATATGTAACGAATGATTTAACTTATGAATCGTTTTCGATCCTTTAAATCTTAACTTACCTATACAACGTAAATATTGGTCATTCACATTGTCTGACTAATAATAATATTCATCATGTGCAGATTTTGTCAAACCAATTATGACCAAATAGTCTAGTGAATTCCATAAACAAGTATGGTTTTTTCAACTTCATTAGTGGTGAGCTTATTTCGGAAGAAATGAAACAGCCTTCAAAGAGTGATAAAACTCTTATATACTCAAAAAAAACATTTTAATCTACAAAAATGTGAGTGCATCTATTGCCTTTGTTTGTTTACACAATGGAGCAATATAAGATACCGAATTGTACGTGAAAAACTGTCTTGTTTCATAAAACTAGTCATTTCAATATAGAGTGCATACTCACTATGTATTTTCAATGGCATGGTTATCTAACCCCTTACAATTTGTAAATATATCTAGTGGTATATAATTTAGTAACAAACACTTCGTGTGAATAGACCGATGAAAATGTTTTATAAATTATTCAGGCTGGTAATTTTCTAGTTGCTTTAGTCACTTTTCATCCGTATGATGTATTTCTGGATAGTAGCTAGCTGTGAAATCGTGCATGGAGGACAGACGGCAGATATATTCCAAGTAAGGACCGGAGTCAGACAAGGCTGTTTACCCTCTCCCTTTCTCTTTCTTCTGGTGGTTGACTGGATTATGAAGACCTGAACATCTAAGGGAAAGCACAAAATACAATGGAGAGCTCAGAATCAACTAGACAATTTGGACATCACAGATGACCTAGCCCCCCTATCCCATATACAGGAACTGATGCAGATAAAGATAACTAGAGCAGCAGCAGCAGCAGGCCTAAACATACATATAGGAAAAAGCAAGATCGTCAAAGGAAACACGGAGAACGCCAACCCAATCACATTTGATGGAGAAATTCTGGAAGATGTGAAATTTTTCACGTATCTGAGAAGCACCATCGATGACCAACGAGGATCGGATGCAGACGTAAAGGCAAGGATTGGCAAAGCAAGGGCAGAATTCCTATAATTGAAGAACACATGGAACTCAAAACAACTTTCAACCAATATCAAAATCAGAATCTTCAATTCGACGTGACTATAATTTATGGACGAGCCAATCAGAAGCGTTTGAGGGATTTCAAGGTAACGGCGCCAATTTCAGTACCTGATTCTCACGTACGATCGCCTTACAGCGGATTTTACAGAAAACGTGATAATTGAGCGACTACAATAAATGGGGCTATTAAGTTCCTTTACTTGTGACTCTGGTAATCAAATGTCTTGTGGACCTTTTGCAGACTACCGTGATGATGCTATCAATCGATGTAATATGTGTCGGAGGAAGAAGTCTGCTAGAATATCATTTTTTCGCTCGATCCAGATTGAGACTAGGGCGAATTATGACAGTTGTTGCGAACTGGATAATAAAAGCACCAGTAAAACTGGCTGCTACTGGGTACTACACTATATACGCGTGATTGGAGAGCGTACAGATGGCTACATAGGCTTCATTATGTGCATCGTGTCGTTATCCACAAGTGACACTTTGTGGACCCAACAACCGGAGTGCACACAAACAATACTGAAATTATGTGGTTGAGACTGAACGAGTTTTGCGGCTTTATCATGGCTCCAGATGCGAACTATTACGGAGTCATATGGATGACTTTCTCTACTGTATTCATTACGATTTTAGAACCCCCGAACCCCTTTCTGACCTTGACAGGTCTCTGAACCATGTAAAAAAAGTGTATCCACTTTAATTATTTGGTTTTGTGTAATATATCTTTACTCTATACAAACTGTTTTCTGATTTGCTAATACTTGTCAAGGTCACATAAGATTCGTTCGAAGGTCACTCAAAAAATATATTCTCGCCGTATTTATAAACAGTTGTCTACGCAAGATACTCAACATCCATTGGCCGGATACCATCAAAAATACAGCCTTCTGTGGGAGAAAACAAACCAGCTTCCAGCTGAAGAAGAAATTAAAAAAAGACCTGGAAGTGGATGTTGGGGTGATCCAGAAAATTTCTCGCAATAGACAAGCAAGGATCAGGAAACATAAAGAAGCATTTGATCCAATCAGCGTTCACATCAAGGATGTGAAACGCCATATTTAGAGGTTCTGATTGGCTGGTTGTTATACTGCTACTATGTTTACTAGC